TTCTTCGAGGCGAGCAAGTGATAATATATCTGGGGGTAGCTGTTACATTTTTTAATATATCTGGCCGAGTTGTTGCATATATGTATAAAATATTTAGTCGTGGGAATGTCACCGTTTGGTCTCAAAGGAATGACACACAACTGGTTCGTACGACAAGCGCCGAAGAGCGCCGGTTGCCAGATATGTTTTTTTGCTCAACGCCGGGTGTGGCTTGCTTCGTGTTGCACCAGTTGAAGTTGCACCAGTTTTCCACAGGGCATCCAGGCACAGAGCTGCAAATGGGGCTGCCGTCACACAGATAGGGAAACTAAAGCATAAAAAGGGCACCAGTGCGGGCTCTGCTCTGCGGGCCGTACGGCCAAAGTCTCGGTCGAAGAATACGCAGCGGTGTCTGGTTGGCCGTTACAGCGGAGTTGCACACTATCTTTCGACCCATTGGCTCCGCGCAACTCTCCGAGCCAAACCAAAGGCCCGAGTTTACGGTCTGGAAATACCCAGCGGTCTTGGCCTCTTGTTCGCGGGCCTTTCTGGTTGGCGTGGGTGGTCCACTTGCGGCGCGGTGCTTCTGTACCGCCAACACCGCCACGCCACCACATCACGCCACACCACTCCGCCCAGGCCTTTGTGTCGCAGCTCAAAGCCCCTATCTACCCTACCCACCCTTCGCTTCTTCGCTCGGCCCCGATAGTTTGCGTGGGCGGCTCATCAACATCAACTTTTTCCAGCAGCACCCCAAGCTGAACTAAGGTTACAAGGAATAACCAACAAGAAGTGCACAGACGAAGCGAGGCGATTCGGGATACCTGTTTTCATATCAAGCTGCGGCGCATCGAAATAGAACGAAGCGAGGGGCAGATAGCGAAGGCGAGTGCGAAGACCATCAGATCATCAACCGCGTCCCCCCCCCTCCGAACTAAACTCGATGGCCGACGAGGCGGGACATATCGCGCTTCAGGTGGGGCAGGCGCCCGACACCGACCTGGAGCGACAGATAGCTGAAATGAAGCGGAAATGGCAGGAGCTCCAACAGGCCCTCGCCTCTACGTCCTCCACCACGACATCTTCTTCTACATCATCATCTTCTTTCGACCCCAACCCCGACACCTCGTCTTCTTCCCCGCAACAGCAGCGCCAACATCAACATCATCGCACCGTCAACACCAGGCGCAGCAGTGCCAGGAGACCCTCGCCGCCGTCATCGAGGACATCGCCATCTCTCAAGGAGGCCACGGCCCAGACGACCCCGCATCTGTTGGTCGAGGGCAAGGACCAAGAAGCCGACGATCATCAACAGCCAGAAGCGAACAACAACAATGACCATCATCATCAACAACAACGTAACGACGAAAATGGTAACCAGAGCGAGGAGGATGACGACGAAGAAGAAGATGCGTCGGAGGGCGACGTCGATGGAAACGACAGCGATATCGATAGTGACAACAACAACAAGAAGAGGCGGAAGAAGAGGAGCGGAGGCGGGTCGTCGGCGGGAGGGAAGAGGAGGCGAATGAGCTACAGCTACAACGTGGACGACCGCAAGGCCTGGCGCAAGCGGCAGGTGGGGATCGACGGCCTCACCGACGAGGAGCGATGGACCCAGCGGATGAGCGAGCTCGAAGCCTTCAAGGAGCGCTTCGGCCACGTCAACGTTCCCCAGAAGTGGCACGAGAACCAAAAGCTGGCCAACTGGCTCAAGGTACCAACATCAACAATCAATGTTCTTTTTCTTTTGATATACCACACCATCTTCTACACTACACCAACATACTTCGACATACCACCGTGATATGGCCGTCGGATGTTGTTAATAATGTTGGGGAGAGATGAGAGATCTGGTGTCCGGGCGCTTCGCTGAAGTGGAGGAAATCGGGCCAATTGCGGACTGTCAGTTAATGTTTATTTATTAATATTATTAATAGCCTATTTGCGGCATTTTTTCGATTGGCGGTCATTCCCACGCGCCTCTTTCTGACGTTGTGTGGCGGTCGTTGTGCGTGTGCGGTCGTCGTGTGCGGTGTCTCCAGAACGTGAGGCAGCGGTGGACCCACGTTGCCAACTACCTCACGCCGGACAAGGAGCACATACTGGCCGAGCTGGGCGTCAAAAAGTGCGAGCCGCTCGACATCATCATCGCCAAGGCCAAGGGCCGTGGCGGCGGCAGCGGCGGTGGAGGCAAGAGGAAGCGATCACGCGCTTCGTCGTCTTCTTCGACTTCGGCGTCGGCCGACGATGATCTCGCCAGCAGTGACGGAGGTGAGGCCGAAGCTGCATCATCTTCTGGCGAGGCAACACAAGAGAAGAAGATCCAGACGCCAACCGGCTCTTCGAAAGATGAAGGGAGAAAAGATGTAGAAGAAGATGATGTTGAACGTCTGCCAAAGAGGAGGAGGAGCGCCCCCGAGCCGCGAGAGATCGAGAATGTGAAGAAGGGAGAAGAACAGCGAGATGAAGATGAACCTCGAGGCCAGCCCGAGCAGCAGGACGCCGGGCCACGACGTAGCGGGAGGAAGAGGAAGCCCCTGTTCGATCTCGAGCACCTCGACCTCGTGCAGCGCCAGCAGCTTCTCGACCACCAGCGCAAGACTACGCGCAGCACTACGGCGAGACGAAGGAGTGGTGGAGTCGCTACGCGCTCGACCGAGGCCAGCCCGCTCCCGCCCGACGGCAACGATCAGTCGACCCCCC